GTGGTCACGGCAGGCTGGGTGGGCAGTGCCAGGGCGGCAGGGGCCAGTCCCTTGCCATCTCCGGGGCACGATACGCGTGCCCCCAAAGAGGACTCTGAGTGCCGCCTCTGGCACGCGTGCCATAGGTTCGCCACCACTGTTCTATTCTAGTCTGTTCTGTCCTATTCTATCCTCATTGTGGTTGATAGCTATCCTTTTCTGCACACTGGGGTGCTCTTTCTCCCTAAAAATAACAAAGAGGACTTGGAAGGAGCCCTAGTTTCTGAATAGGGCTGGGAAAAATTCGCATCTGAAAGCCTGCAATCACCCTAACCACAAGAAAACCCACTTCACCCTGTGGTTTTTAATCCAGTTTGACATCTGTTGTGTGAAGCACTTTTCTGCTCCTGAACTGGACGCTGGCCATTTCTTTCGGATCAGCCCGTGTTTTGCTTCTCCAAGGGCAATAAAAACACTTCTCCCCTGCTTATGTTTCTTTTTTTCTTTTTCCCTTTCTTTTTTAATAAAGAAGTAACTCAAAAAGCTTCAACTTCCTTTCAACCCCCGGCTCCATTTCCTTAAAGTTAAGTCCAGTTAGTCCTTGACTTATGAACACAATGTTTCTGTGGTTAAGCGAAAGATTGGTTCGGTGGATTTTGCCCCCTTTTATGACCTTTCCGGCCGCGGTTGTTAAGGGAATCACTAACATTGCTAAGTGAATCACACGGTCATTAAGTGAATCTGGCCTCCCCCCCCATTGATTTCGCTCGTTAGAAGGTCGAAAAGAGGATTGCGTGACACCCCCAGGCATGCTGCGACCGTCATAAATGTGAGTCAGTTGCCAAGCGTCTCAAGTTTGCTCGCGTGACCAGGGGGAATGCTGCGACGGTCGTTAAGTGTGAAAAACGCTTCTAAGTCGCTTTTTTTTTCAGTGCCGTTGTAACTTCGAACGATCATTAAACAGATCATCATAAGCTGAGGCCTGCCTGTCCTTCAAATCCAGAATTTAAGAGATTCCCTCGAGAGGAGATTGAAGGAGTTTTTAACAATGGAAATGGTGAGACAGTGTTCTATTAAATGTCACCACATGGGACACGTGGGTGAGATGGAAAAATATTTAGATTTAATTTTGGGAAGGTCCAGGGGTAGGCCACCTTGGCTCTTTTATGACTGGTGGACTTCAACTCCCAGAATTTCTGAGCCAGCCATGCTGAGGGGAAAGGGAGAGGTTTCCAAGCTGAGCCATGCTGGCTGAGGAATTCTGGGAGTTGAAGTCCACGAGTCATGAAGGGGCCAAAGTTTCCCCCATGCTGCCTCAGGAATTCTGGGAGTTGAAGTCCACAAGTCATGAGGGGGCCATAGTTCCACCATGCTGCCTCAGGAATTCTGGGAGTTGAAGTCCACGAGTCATGAAGGGGCCAAAGTTTCCCCCATGCTGTCTCAGGAATTCTGGGAGTTGAAGTCCACGAGTCATAAAAGAGCCAAGGTTGCCTACCCCTGGTCTAGTGCAGGGGTAGGCAACCTTGGCTCTTTTATGACTCGTGGACTTCAACTCCCAGAATTCCTGAGCCAGCCAGAATTCCTGAGCCAGCCAGGGGAATGGGAGAGGTTTCCAAGCTGAGCCATGCTGGTTCAGGAATTCTGGGAGTTGAAGTCCACGAGTCATAAAAGAGTCAAGGTTGCCTATCCCTGGGATATCCCATTCTCTTATGATAGGTGGTCTCACCCTCCCTTCCATTTTGAAAACAGGCTTTCGGCCTTCAACAAATCTGCTTCAGATGTTGGAAGATGCTTCAGAAGGATAGTATTTTGTTCTAGGTGGATCGAAACCTGCGCTTCTCAAGCTTGGTCACTTGGAGAATTGTGGACTTAAACTCCCAGAATTCTTGGGGAATTATGGACTTCAACTCCCAGCTGTCTGGGGAATTTTGGGAGTTGAAATCCACAATTCTCCAAGTGACCAAGCTTGAGAAACACAGGCCTAAACCATCATCAGCTTGTTACAATAACTAACTGAGTCCAAAACTTGCAGGCGTTATCTTGGCTAAGGAGGAAGGTTCCCACCACCTCTGGGAGGTGTGTTTGTGGGTCTGTTTTCTTTGTCTACTTGTGTGACTTGGTCCCTGGCAGATAGAAATCCACAGTGGAAATGAGAGAAGATTGAATCCCTTTAGGATGGTGTTTCGCAACCGTGGCAACATTCAGATGTCTGGATTTCAACTCCCAGAATTCCCTAGCCAGCATGCTGGCTGGGGAATTCTGGGAGTTGAAGTCCACACATCTTAAAGTTGCTAAGGTTGAGAAACACTCGTGCAGAGTGTAGAAATCGGGAGGAACTTCCTAGGGGTGTGAGCCATCAATTAGGGCAAGGGTCCCCAACCTTGGCCCTTTTATGACTTGTGGACTTCAACTCCCAGAATTCCCCAGCCAGCATGACTGGATGAGGAATTCTAGGAGTTGAAATCCACAAGTCTTGAAGTTATCAAAATTGGGAATTCCTGGTTAGGGACAGGACAGAAGAACAATGTCACCAAAGTAGGCTTGGGCCAGGGATCTCACCTGAGGCCTCCCGAGCACTGTTGCCTCACACTCACAAGCACATACACACACACAATTTCTGCACGGCCACTGTCACCTTCTGCTTCCTTTACCTGCCATAAAGTGTCTGCCTTAGGCTGATCCAGAGTGGATCAATGTGACCAAGGCTTAAAAACAGATGAGGGTTTTGCCCCTGACGTACATTTTGTAAATTGCTAACTAATGTAATTACTTTGTATTTTAATTTGATTTTTTTCTCTCTTTTAAAATGATGTTCAGGTTTCTTAGCTTTTAACCTTCCTAAACTGATAAAACAGGCTGGAGGTGAGCCCCAGATAAGTAAAAAAAGTTTGGTAGTACAAATTGGGGATCTGGATTAATCTTTTTTGTACATTCCAAACTACCTTATTCCTGACAATTGACACCCCTTCTGGCGTCAGGCCTCATTTTGATGAACATGGGTGATATTACGGGATGCAAATAGGTAACACGTTTGACTACATGTAATAGATTTCCTGTGCAAAGGGGAAGTTACTTTTATCCTGTCCGATCAAATTCGCTCTTTCATTTTTCTTTGCTGTGTTAATTATACGAGGGCAATTCGGAAACAAACCCCCGTTTGGTTATCAATGACAGACACTGGCCGATACAAAACTTCTAGTATACACATTAGAAAACTACAACAATACATTACTTTTCGACATCATCGCCATTCCAATTGAGGCACATGTGGTCACGTCTTACAAGGTTTGAAATTCCTTAGTAGTCGTCGCTCGGCGCCAAATCTGAGTTATGGGGGGGTGATCAAAAACATCCCAACAGAATTGCTTCCAAAGCTCTTGGGTGCATCTGGCGGTGTGCGGGCGAGCATTGTGAACCGACACCACACCGGAAGTCAGCACGCCCAGACGCTCGTTATGGACGGCTCATCTGAGTTTTTGTAACGTTTATTTATTTATTTATTTTTAAAATTTATAAGCCGCCCCACTCCCAAAGGAGTTTCACACTAGACGTCTGAATTGATGGTCAAACCACACTCCATGGACTTCACTAGCAGTTATTCCTTTGGCATCTTCACATTTGGCAGGATTTTTTACGGCACCACTTCCGGTGTGGTGTTGGTTCATGATATAATGCTCACCCGTACACCACTGGGCGCATCCAAGAACGTTTGAAGCAGTTCCCTTGGGATGTTTTTGATCACACACACATCCCCAATAGCCCAGATTTAGCGCTGAGTGACGACGACTAAGGCATTTCTAACCTTGTTAGACGGGATGACATGTGCCTCCGTCTGAATGGCGATTACGTCGAAAAGTAAATGCCATGTTATAGTTTTCTAATGAGTATAATAAAAAAGTTTTGTATCTGCGAGTGTCGGTCATTGACAACCAAACGGGGGTTTATTTCTGAATTGCCCTCGTATAACTAACACAGCAAAAAGAGCAAATTTGATCGGACGGGGTAAAAGTAACTTCCCCTTTACCTGTAGTCAAACGTGTTACCTATTTGCATCCCGTAATATCACCCAGGTTCATCAAAATGAGGTCTGACGTCAGAAGGAGCGTCAATTGTCAGAAACAACGTAGTTTGGAATTCACAAAAGAGATTAATCCAGATCCCCCAATTTGTACTAGCAAACTTTTTTTCTTATCTGAGGCTCCTTTCCAGCCTGTTTTATCAGTTTAAGAATGTTACAAGGCAAGAAACCTGAACATCATTTGAAAAGAGAGAAAAATAAATCGAATTAAAAGACAAAATAATTACGTTAGTGAGCAATTTACAAAATGCACGTCACCTGTTTTTAAGCCTCGGTCGCATTGCTCCACTCTGGATCACCCTAAGGCCAAGATTTAATGGCAGGTAAGGGAAGCGCAAGCTAACAGTGGCCGTGCAGAAACTGTGTGTGTGTATGTGCTTGTGAGTGTGGGGACGGGCAACAATGGTCCAAATTACCCTTGTAGCAAGGAATTTAAGATGGGTGTGGGGTTCTCTCTCTCCTTTTTCATAGAGAGATCTTACTTTATACTTTACCCTAATAAACTGCTTTTAAATCAGTGGTTCTCAACCTGTGGGTCGGGACCCCATTTGGGGTCGAAAGACCATTTCACGGGGGTCACCAAACAATGCAGTCCGCCATTTTTTTCCCCCTTTTCCTTAGCTGTGCTACTCCCTTTTATTCTATTGGCTTTTGAAAGCCAATAGAATAGACTCTCTTGAATAGAGTCTAATTCTATTGGCTTTCAAAAGCCAATAGGAATTGTCCAGGCTGTCTCTGCCCTGCTGAGCCCGCCAAAAGCCCCCGTCTGCAAACGGTGCTGCACCAGTTGAGTAGTCCTCGACTTACGACCGGTTGGGGGGTCACGGCATTAAAAGGGTTGAGAACCACTGTTTTAAATGATCTTCCGACTCGGTTGCTTATTGGGAAGGTAAACTGAGGCAGAACCTAAGGCCAGATTTACAAGGGGACACCAGATCTTCCACACACCTAGATTTCAATCCTTGCTTACAAGATTTTGGAGGGCAGCCTGGAAGACCCATTAAAATTCACCACCAAAGATGTTTGGTTATAGCCGAGCAACGATCCTTTTTTATTTACACACGCAAAAGCTTTAGATTCCAGCCACCCCTCTTTGCACCTTGCACCCCAACCCCTGCCGGCTTCAGCTGCAGCCCCCGAGATCCTTGATCAGCCTGGCGGCTTCGGGCACCTGCCGGAAAATATCCCGGAGGGTCTCGGTTTCCTGCATCAGTTGATCCACCCGGCTGCGCAGCCGTTCGTTCTCCCCCAGCAGTTCCACCATGCGTTGTTGCGTCTCCATCACCCGGCGCTTGGCTTTGTCGCGGCTTTTGCGCACCGCAATGTTGTTGCGCTCGCGGCGCAGGCGGTACTCCAGGCTGTCTTTGTTCAAGGATTTCTTTCCCTTGGGGGTGCCGCAAGGAGGGGGCGGGTTGCAGGCCGGACTCTGCGGGCGAGGAGAACAACAGGTTATAGATGCTGGGCGGGGGGGCCAAGCCCACCGGAAGGCAGGACAAGAAGCAACGGAGGGAAACTGATCAAGGAGAGAAGCAGCCTGGAACTAAGAAGGCATTTCCTGAGAGTTTGAACAATTCATCAGTGGAACTACTGGCCACCAGAAATGATGGGTGCTCCATCACGGGAGGCTTTTAGGAGGAGATTGGGCAACTATCCGTCTGAAATGGTGTAAGGTTTCTTGCCTGAGTAGGGGGTTGGACTAGAAGACCTCCAAGGTCCCATTTAACGCTGTTATTCAGGTAGGGGAAGTGGGGCAACCTGTGAAGGAACATACAGTCGATTCAACTACAGAGATAGGAAAGGAACGAGAAAGCTGATAAGAGATGAGGGGGGAAAAGATTCTTCGCCTGGGAAAGAGGAAGAGGTGAGCAGGAAACTCAAGACAGCCCTACCTTGATTTTATTTAGTATACGCTGGCACAGAATAAAAATGTGAGAGGCTTTCAACTTCTTGCTTCTCTGCCTTCCTAGATTAAAGTCCCTTCCTGAAATCCTTACCATTCCTGTTTGTTGAGCTAGCCAGGGGTAGACAACCTTGGCTCTTTTATGACTCGTGGACTTCAACTCCCAGAATTCCTGAGCCAGCCACGCTGAGGGGAAAGGGAAAAGTTTCCAAGCTGAGCCATGCAGGCTCAGGAATTCTGGGAGTTGAAGTCCAGGAGTCATAAAAGAGCCAAGGTGCTTACCCCTGGGGTAGCCTATCTCGAAGAGCTGTCATCAATCAAATTCAAGATAGGATTATTTTAAGTTTCTTGTGCTCAGAACGTTTCTCAAAGCCCCCCCCCAATGGTTTCCTCATTTCTTCTCTCCCCCCCCTCTTCCTCCCTCCCTCCCTCTCTTTTTTCTCTTCTGACTTCCTTCCTCCTTCCCTCTCCCCCTTTCTCTCTCCCTTACTCTTTCTCCCTCCCTCCCTCCCTCTCAATCTCTCTCCCTCTCTCTCCCTCTCAATCTCTTTCCTTACCTCTCTCCCTCCCTCTCTCTCCTCCCTCCCCTCCCTCTTTCCCTCTGTCTCTCTCTCCCGCCTTCCCTCCCTCTCTCCTCCCTCCTTCTCTCTCCCTCTCTCCCTCCCTCTCCCTCTCTCCCTCACTCTTTTTCTCTCTCCCTCCCCTCCCTCTCCCTCTCTCTCTCCCTCTCTTTCCCTGTCTCTCTCTCTCCTTCCCTCCCTCTCTCCCCCTTCCTCTCCCGCTCTCTCTCTCTCTCCCTGTCCTTCTCTCTCCCTCTCTCCCTCTCTCCCTCCCTCTTTCCCTCTCTTCCTCCCCTCCCTCTCCCTCTCTTCCTCCCTCTTTCCCTGTCTCTCTCCCTGTCCTTCCCTCTCTCTCCCTCCCTCTTTCCCTCTCTCCCTCCCCTCCCTCTCTCCTTCCCTCTCTTTCCTTGTCTCTCTCCCTTCTTCCCTCCCTCTCTCCCCCTTCCTCCTTCTCTCCCTCTCTCCCTCACTTTTTCTCTCTCCCTCCCCTCCCTCTCCCTCTCTCTCTCCCTCTCATTCCGTCTCTCTCTCTCCTTCCCTCCCTCTCTCCCCCTTCCTCTCCCGCTCTCTCTCCCTCTCTCCCTGTCCTCTCTCCCTCTTTCCCTCTCTCTCTCCCTCTTTCCCTCTCTTCCTCCCCTCCCTCTCCCTCTCTTCCTCCCTCTTTCCCTGTCTCTCTCCCTGTCCTTCTCTCTCCCTCTCTCTCCCTCCCTCTCTCCCTCCCTCTTTCCCTCTCTCCCTCCCCTCCCTCTCTCCTTCCCTCTCTTTCCTTGTCTCTCTCCCTTCTTCCCTCCCTCTCTCCCCCTTCCTCCTTCTCTCCCTCCCTCCTCCTCTTCCTCCCCCTCCCTCCCCCTCTCCTCTCTCTTCCTCTCTCCCCCTGCCTCCCTTCCTTTGTCTCTCCCTCCCTCTCTCCCCCTCTCTCTCCCTCCTTCCCTCCCTCTCCCTCCCTCCCTCTCTCTCTCTCCCTCTCACACAGAGAAACATCGAATGCCCCCTTTTTAAGCACCCAGAACCCCCTCATACACTTTCCCATCAGTTTGAAACTCAAGCCCACATTGAAAAAAACTGTAGCGCAGTTCCTAAAATAAGAATCTGCAGGATCGGAGCAGCCTAGAAACCGGATTAAGTAAATCATCAAATAGATTTGGGTTAATGAAAGCCCACCGCAAGAGACATTCAAGCTCCCTCCGAAAGGCAGGAAAGTTTTGTCCCCATTTGTAACTTGGCCTTTAGGCATTAAAAAGAAAATAAATATATTTTTTAAAGTAATAATGAAATAAAAAAAATAAGAATAAACAAATTAAAAATAAAACAAAAGGCAATAATAATAAAATAAAAATAAATAATTGAAACAAACAAACAAATAAATAAGAAAACAAAAACAAGCAGAAACTCAAAGGACAAACTCAATGCACCTCTGGTTCTTTTTCTGCCGTCAGAGTTCTATCTTTCTTGCCCATCTACCCCTTATAAACATCTTCCCCACCCTCCACCCATTTACTTGTGGTTGCCAGTCTCCCAGCAGACACACACACACACACACACAATTTAAGTTAAAGAAAATAAAGCTCATGATAAGGAAAGCTTCGCTTCCTACAGAAATTTTGAGGTGAGAATTTCTGGCTTCAAATAATCGGTCAAACAAAGTCTCAAGAGTGCAAAAACTTCTTTCTTTCTTTCTTTCTTTCTTTCTTTCTTCCTTCCTTTCTTCTTTCTTTCTTTCTTTCTTTCTTCCTTCCTTCCTTCCTTCCTTCCTCCTTCCTTCCTTCCTTCCTTCCTTCCTTCTTTCTTTCTTTTTTTCTTTTAAAAAAAAAACCCAGGTGGAAAAAGTTAAGAGTGTTTTTTGTTTTTTTTATTAAAGAACGGATTTCAGATTTGATCCAGGACCCAAAGCTGCAAGGCAGATTCTTGTGTGAAACGCATTTGAATTGTGCCGTTTCCAATTGCGGTCATCTCTATCGGTTGCGTAGTTAGCCAAGAAGAACACGCCATGGGGAAAGGAGCTTCTGTATTTCCCCGCCCCTCCCCTCTCCAAAAACATAAAATCCTGGATTTCTCCAAGTTTAAAAAGAAGGGCTAAGAGGGTGGAAAGGCTGAGAATACAGAACTAGACTCCGAGGGACCTGGGAGGTCATGTAGTCCAACCCCCTGCTCAAGACAGGAGACCTTATCCCATCCTGGTCAAATGGTTATCCAGTCTATTTTTCAAACTCTCCAGAGATGAAAAATGACAGAGAAAGAAATGGAAAGAGTAGAGAAGTTAAAAATTAAGAATCTGTTGGATGTTCATCTCTTAAATGGCAACACAACCTAGATTGTCCGGGGGGGGGGGAATCTCAATTGCAGGAATTACAGATGCCTCATTTAATGAAGAGAAGGACGAGGGGGGACAGGATAGCAGCCTTCCAATATCTCAGGGGCTGCCCCAAAGAAGAGGGAGTCAAGCTATTCTCCAAGGCAGGACAAGAAGCAACGGATGGAAACTAACCAAGGAGTGAAGCAACCTAGAACTAAGGAGAAACTTCCTGACAATGAGGACAATTAATCAGTGGAACAACCTGCCTCCTCCTCCTCCTCCATTTTAAGAAGACACTGGACAGCCATTTGTCTGGAATGGTATAGGTCTCCTTCATGAGCAGGGGGTTGGACTAGAAGACCTCCAAGGTCCCTTCCAACTGTGTTCTCCTCCTCCTCCTCCTCCATTTTAAGAAGAGATTGGACAGCCATTTGTCTGAAATGAGATAGGGTCTCCTGCTTGAGCAGGGGGTTGGACTAGAAGACCTCCAAGGTCCCTTCCAGCTTTATTATTCCCCCTCCTCCTCCTCTTTGTCCTCCTTTTTAAGAAGAGATTGGGCCACCATTTATCTGACATGGCACAGGGTTTCCTGCCTGAGCAGCAGGTTGGACTAGATGACCTTCAAGGTCCCTTCCAATTGTGTTCTCCTTCTCCTCTTCCTCCTCCTCCTCTTCCTCCTTTTAAAGAAGAGATTGGACAGCCATTTGTCTGGAATGGTATAGGGCAGTGGTTCTCAACCTGTGGGTCGGAACCCCATTTGGGGTCGAACGACCATTTCACGGGGGTCGCCAAACAATGCAGTCTGCCATTTTTTCCCCCTTTTCCTTAGCTGTGCTACTCCCTTTTATTCTATTGGCTTTCCAAAGCCAATAGGAATTGTCCAGGCTGTCTCTGCCCTGCTGAGCCCGCCAAAAGTCCCATTCTGCAAACGGTGCTACACCAGTTGAGTAGTCCTCAACTTACGACCGGTTGAGTAGTCCTCGACTTACGACCAATTGGGGGTCGCGGCATTAAAAAGGTTGAGAACCACTGGTATAGGGTCTCCTGCTTGAGCAAGGGGTTGGACTAGAAGACCTCCAAGGTCCCTTCCAGCTCTTGTTATTTCCAATTATTCCCAGATATTCCCACATGGTTAAATTACTATCAACGAGAGCAGGCGTTTTCTTCCCTCTTACAGTTCCCGAGATTATATTTCTCTCCAGGCACCGAGAAAAACTTCCTGGTGTGAATGCCACGATTTCCCCTTTTACGTGGGATGGAACTTCTTAATTTCCTACGGGAATGGTAGAGTTTCCTTTCATTGTCCTGGATTTTCGGGACGGCCGACAGTCCCGCTCAGCCCTTTTTTGGCTGCAAAGGCAGCCTCTGCCTAGCTTCTCATAAATATTTTCATAAGGTCTTTAGATCTTCTGCAAAAAGGGTTTGGCAAACGTTTTTTTCCTGACGCGGCCCTGGGCCAGCTCTCCCTACAACAGCCGAGTTTGCGGCCCCCCCGTCCCCCTCCTTCCCCTCTGTCTAAATCACATCCGAAACGGCATCCTTCTGGGTGTTTGATCTGCAGGCATCCGATAACTGCTTTATTAGACCACAAAGCCACGAAATATCTCTTATGGGAGCCCAGTTTATTTATCTTCAAAGTTGACCCACCCTTCCGCCTGTGAGGGATGGTGAGCGTCTCCCGTCTCGCTCGTTCTCAGATTCCAAAACTGCAAAAATCGGAGCTACAGGGGCGGTAATAGTGAATCCAGCAAAAAAGAGGGGGAAAAATAGGGTGGGGGGGGGAAATAAAATCCTATAATGGACAAACTTTTCTGGGCTAAAGGACCGATTCCGTCTTCCAAACTGCAAGGCCCTTGCAAAAGCAGCTAAGTTTTAATGCTAAAAAAGAAAGGGACAATTGATCTTCAGGCTGGGGTGGGCTGGGGACCCTTAGTCTGATCCCCCCGTTTCTGCAATTATATACACCCCATGTCCCATCTGATCTGCAAGGGGATCCCTGAAAGAAATGGGAAAATCCATCTTTTTGTCGCTTTGTCGAATGGGTCAAGCTCTGTGCCTAAATGTTTTGGAATTTCCATCTGAGACCTGATGATGGTTTGATATCAACCATCCTGGGTCTCTTCACCTATCGTCTCTTCTCGATAAGCCGCGATTGAGGTAACTATGGGTTGTTAGACCCCTCTGTGGTGCCAAGCTATAAGCTACGCTGAGCAAGACAAGCTGGGCTGTCAAACGCCACCATCACGCCAAGCCACAAACAAGCCATCTTACGGGTTGGTGCGTTGGGTGAGTTTTGACACAACTTTGTTTCCTCCAGCGCTTCCTGGCGTTTACCTCAGCTTGTGAACTTAAAAACCTGCGCCTCCGGTTTTCTTAGAAACTAGAGTTGTTTGTGTTACGTTTTTCTGCTTATTTGTGCGTGGCTGCCCTATCTTTTAAAACCGTGACAGAGCCAGGATGGGGTTATCTTGGTCTGTGAAATATCCATGGATTTGGGGGCTCCTTTGACGAGGAGAGATAGATTGGAGGACCCCCAGACAGAGAGAGACAGGACCAGGCCAATAGTACAAATCAGAATTTTGGAGAATTGGAGGGTCAAAGCCCAGTTAAATGGGACTAGAATCCTAAAATGGGGACACGCAGAATCTGGCTTGTTAAGGACAGGAGCCAAAAACAGGGACTCCGAAAAACAACACATCGGGATTCAGGACTTCTCAAAATGTATCTTTTCTATTAAATTTTTGCCTTCACTACCCCTTCTAGCAAAAACTATATCGTCTAAATTAATTCTTTAATCCGGTGTTTCTCAATCTTGACAACTTTAAGATGGATGGACTTCAACTCCCAAAATTCCCCAGCCAGCTCTGCTGGCTGGGGAATTTTGGGAGTTGAAGTCCATCCATCTTAAAGTTGTCAAGATTGAGAAACACCACTTTAATCTTCTTTGCCTCCATTCTTCCCTCTTCTCGTGTCCAACTAGGGATCGTCAATGGTGTAGGACAAGGTCCTCTTTCAGTCCTTCTCCATAAATCCAGTGGTGCTGTAGAAAACCCACTGAGAACACACGATGGATCCCGAGATCATCCTGACCTGTCTGCAAAATCCTCTGCTCTCCCATTGATCAACCCTCCCCCAAGCAATGAAGTGTCAATGGGCCCAAATAGAAGCAAAATAGATCTCTTTCCAAGAACTTTGCAAGGGTAGAGAAGAGCAACAAAGATGGTTAGGAGACCAGAGGCTAAAAGATACGAAGAACATTTGCAGGAAATGAGTTTGTCTAGCGTAGTGAAAAGAAGGTCTACGGTGACATGATAGCCGCCTTCCAATATCTCAGGGGCTGCCCCAAAGAAGAGGGAGTCAAGCTATTCTCCAAAGCGCCTGAAGGCAGGACAAGAAGCAACGGATGGAAACTAACCAAGGAGAGAAGCAACCTAGAACTAAGGAGAAACTTCCTGACAGTGAGAACAATTAACCAGTGGAACAACCTGCCTCCAGAAGCAGTAAATGCTCCAACACTGGAAGTTTTTAAGAAGAGATTGGACAGCCATTTGTCTGAAATGGTCTAGGCTTTCCTGCTTGAGCGGGGGGTTGGACTAGATGACCTCTAAGATCCCTTCCAACTCTGTTATTCTGCTCTGTTCTCCAGGGTGGAAAGGACCATGGGTATATAGAGATAGAAATAGAGATAGATAGATAGATAGATAGATAGATAGATAGATAGATAGATAGATAGATAGATAGATAGAGAGAGGTAGATAGAGATATAGATAGATAGATAGATAGACAGAGAGAGAGAGAGAGAGAGAGAGAGAGAGAGAGAGAGAGAGAGAGATGATAGAGATAGAGATAGGGATAGGTAGATAGAAATATAGAGAGATATAGAGAGATATAGAGATAGAGACGGATGGAAACTAACCAAGGAAAGAAGCAACCTGGAACTAAGGAGAAACTTCCTGACAGTTAGAACAATTAACCAGTGGAACAACCTGCCTCCAGAAATGGTGAATGCTCCAACACTGGAAGTTTTTAAGAAGAGACTGGACAGCCATTTGTCCGAAATGGTATAGGGTTTCCTGCCTGAGCAGGGGGTTGGACTCGATGACCTCCAAGGTCCCTTCCAACTTTATTATTATTATTATTATTATTATAGATATACAGATATATCTGATATATAGATATAGATATCTGAGTTTTAAAGACTCTTCCTTCTTGCAGTGATAATATTCTAGGAGACCAGCTGAAGGAACCAACGTTCTCCAGTCAGCTGGTAGAATTGGGGGTCTCCAGGCTAGAAAAAAAGGCAACGGGTGGGTCTTCTCCATCCTTACCTTGAGCACTCTCAGAGCTTGCCCGGCGCGTGGTCCTGGTGGGGTGAGGGCCACCTGGGCACAATGGCTTGTGGGCAAGTGCATGGCGCTGTACGGGTGGCGCGCGACCCCTCGCCCCGCTGGCCCACCTCGAGGTTCTTCCTTGACCGCAATCGATCGTGGGTCAAAGGGGGACAGGCCCTTGCGTTCCCCTCCGAAAGAGAGGAAGGGGTACGGGTCGGTGGGGAAGTAGTTTGGGAAGGAGGCCCCCTTGGGCAACCTCTGCTGGTTCCCTTGAAGCAACTCGGAGAGTAACTGCTCATCCCCAATGTAGGAGGCCAGCTCCGATTCACACAAGGGGGCCAAGTCGGTGGTGGTTGACCTCGCTGGAGCCATCTCCAGAGCTTGGTAGTGCCTCTCGCCCTCAAAGTAGCCTCCTTGGGACATGGTAGAGGACCCAACGCCAGTCCTTCTTTCTCCCCGACCTTCCGAAGGCTCCAACCCACGTCTTGTCTGGAAAGGTCTTCTTCTCTTTGAAGTCTCCTCGATGTCTACCTCCTTTGTAGACGCGGTTATTTCTCTCTCTTTCTCTCCTGGGTTGTCTTCTTCTGGACTTGGGTGGGTGGGATTGTCTCGTCTTTGTTCTCGCCTCGGGGGTCGCCGACTCTCAGGATGTCCAAGTGGTTTTGGGTCTTCTTCTCCCTGTCTCTGCTGAATTCCTGTCCTTCTTTGCTCTACCTATCTTGGCCTTGGTTCCCTCTTTTTTTCTCTACCCTGTTCCTCTGCCTGCCTGCCCCTTCCTTCCTCTTTCTATGCGGCACCCCAGCTCTGCTCGTAACAAGAGACCGCTTCACCCAGCTACAGCTCCTTCCCAATTTGGTCCACACTCAGAGGTCCTCTTCTTCTCAACCCATCCTGCAAGGAACGTCCTCAGTATCTTCACGGTCACGGCTGCTCCTCAAGGGCTAAGAGGCCCGTCTGGCTTCCTATGCTCACCCAAATGACCCATGTCAGAATCCAGACCAAGACTTTTGTCTTAACAATCGCTCGCCAGCAAACTGGTAACTTGCAGGTTCCCCTTTGTGAGGAGACCTCGAGATATTTCTCAATCCCTTTTCAGTCCTACCTTGGCGGGTTGCGATCTCCACATCCAGCCACAATGCACAATTTGCAAGGCTTGAAAAGGGCCTTCTTAGAAGCGGAACCAAAAACGGGGGCCTACCTCAAAATATTGTCTGTTTTTGTTGTCGTCCAAATGGCTTACCAATTCTCCTTTTTGTCCAGAAAGAGAGAGGTGCTGGTTTTGTTGTTGTTGTTTTTTAAAAAAAATAAGGCCTGCTGCAACTATCTTGGTTTTCTCTTAAATTAAGAGCCGAAAGGACTAGGGGTGACATGATAGCAGTCTTCCAACATCTCAGGGGCTGCCCCAAAGAAGAGGGAGTCAAGCTATTCTCCAAAGCACCTGGAGGTAGGACAAGAAGCAACGGATGGAAACTAATCAAGGAGGGAAGCAACCTAGAACTAAGGAAAAATTTCCTGATAGAACAATTAATCAGTGGAACAACCTGCCTCCAGAAGTTGTGAATGCTCCAACACTGGAAGTTTTTAAGAAGAGATTGGACATCCATTTGTCTGAAATGGTTTAGGTTTTCCTGCCTGAGCGGGGGGTTGGACTAGATGACCTCCAAGGTCCCTTCCAACTCTTCTCTTCTTCTCTTCTCTTCTCTTCTATTCTATTCTAATTAGCCTTTTCCTGGAAAAGGTGGGCATTTAGACCCAAATGCCAGAAAGTACCAAAACACTGGAGGAGGTGCAGAATTCAAATATTCGCCTTCATTCATGAGAATTAAAACATACCAGCATTGTTCAGCTTTGACAATGTTAAGATGGCTGGACTTCAACTCCCAGAATTCCTCAGCCAGCTCATGTGCTTGTCCCCCCCATCTTAATATTGCCAAGGTTAAAAAAAAAAACTGTAATACACAGGTGCAGACTGTAAACCTATGAAGGCATTCAAGCCTCTTGCACCTATATTGAGAAGAAAAAGAAGATAGGCAAAAAAAAAACAATCTAACCATTTAATTTCTATTTCTAGGTTTAGTTTTTAACCATTTATTTAACAATGCTTGCTTAGCTCCACACATTTGACAGAAGTATAATGTGTTGCCTGTTGTGGACATACCCACCCTTGTGGCTGGTAAATCATGGCTGTTGTGTGTGGTTTACTCAACAAATCCTGATTAAATGGTGGTTTAAGAGGAGATGGGTGAATAAAGTACCTTTCCATCCCTGTAGAGGGCACCACAAAGCCAAAAAAAAAAAAAAATACAGCTGCACGACATCTTTTCCTGCCCCATAAGGAAAAAAAAGGAACCTGCTGAAGAAAAGTAAGTCCTTGACTTACGACCGCAATTGAGCCCAAAGTTTCCTTTCCTAAGGGACACGGTCGTTAAGTGAATTTTGCCCCATTTTACAACCTTTCTCGCCCCAGTGGCTAGCTGCATCTCCTGCAGTCGTTAAATTAGGAACACGGTTGCTAAGTGGAATCCGACTTCCCCCCCCATCGACTTTGCCTGTCAGAAGGTCGCAAAAGGGAATCGTGGGACACCCCCCCCCTCCCAGGGACACTGCGACCGTCATAAATACGAGTCAGTTGCCAAGCAGCCGGATTTTGGATCACGTGACCACAGGAATGCTGTGAGGGTCGTTAAGTGTGAAAACTGTTGATAAGTCGCTTTTTTTCAGTGCCGTTGTAACTCTGAATGGTCACTAAATGGATTGTTGTAACTCAAGGACTACCTGTATTTCAGGCGTGGGCAAGCTCAGACTCTTTTACCTTCTGACTAAGGGGTTTTTGGAGGTCTTTTTGATCCTTCAAGACCTGGCAACAACCTTGTCTGAATGTTCCCTAGAAAAAATTGTGGTTGGTGGTGTGAAGAGTGTCCATAGAGATTCTCCATCATCCAGGTCAGGGGTAGGCAACCTTGGCTCTTTTATGACTCATGGACTTCAACTCCCAGAATTCCTGAGCCAGCCTGGCTCAGCTTGGAAACCTCTCCCTTTCCCCTCAGCGTGGATGGCTCAGGAATTCTGGGAGTTGAAGTCCACCAGTCATAAAAGAGCCAAGTTTCAAGACCCCTGCTTATGGATTTCTACTCCCAGAATTCCTCAGCTAGGCACACTGGCTCAGGAATTCTGGGAGTTGAAGTCCATGAGTCATAAAAGAGCCAAGGTTGCCCACCCCTGTTCTAGCCCGATGCCACGCCTTAAAAGGAAATAAAGCTATCAGCCAGGATCTGCAAGCCGTTGTGTATTTGTGGCTTACTTTGTATTTTGGGTTCCAGCTGTCACGGACATAGTTGAAGGCCTTTGGTGGGACAGGGGTTTGCTGAACCTGGCTCCCCCCCCCCACAAATCCATAATTTCAGGCCTGTTATTTTGTTTTTTTTCCACAGTAAAAGAAAAATTAATACCACTTTACAAGACCTGGGTAAGGCCACACTTGGAGTACGGCATCCAGTTTTGGTCACCACAATGTAAAAAGGTTGTTGACACTCTAGAAAAAAGAGTGCAGAGAAGAGCAACAAAGATGATCAGGAGACTGCAGGATAAAATATAAAAAGAAGAGTTGCTGGAATTGGGGATGTCTAGTTCAGGGGTAGGCCATCTTGGCTCTTTTATGACTCGTGGACTTCAACTCCAGAATTCCTGAACCAGCATGGCTCAGCTTGGAAACCTCTCCCTTTTTCCCTCAGTGTGGCTGGCTCAGGAATTCTGGGAGTTGAAGTCCACGAGTCATAAAAGAGCCAAAATTGCCTACCCCTGATCCAGCTCATGGTTGTCCCAAAGGTGTTTTTTTTTTTCAGGAGGCAACTGAACTGTCTTGTTTTTCTTTGAAGACGTTTCGCTTCTCATCCCAGAAGCTTCTTCAGTTCTGGCTGAATGGTGGGGAACGGAAGGATTTATATTCCTTGCTGGGCCAAGAAGGATCCACGCCCATTTGCACCACTCAGCTGACCCTGAGGACATAGATAAACCTCCAAGTGGCCTCAACGATCCCCTAAAACAGGGGTAGGCCACCATGGCTCTTTTATGACTTTAACTCCCAGAATTCCTGAGCCAGCCATGCTGAGGGGAAAGAGAGAGGTTTCCAAGCCAAGCCATGCTGGCTCAGGAATTCTGGGAGTTGAAGTCCACGAGTCATAAAAGAGCCATGGTTGCCTACCTCTGCTCTAAAAGAATACAAATGACCAGATGACAGCAAAGGAATATAAATCCTTCCATTTCCCCACCCATTCAGTCAGAACTGAAGAAGCTTCCAGGATGAGAAGCGAAACGTCTTCAAAGAAAAACAAAGAAGTCCAGTTTCCTCCTGAAAAAAAAAAACGCATCTTTGCGTTCTGCGACGAAGATAATCAGGTCGTACCTTGTTAGGATGAAGGAGTCTGAAAGGAAGTGTTTTGGAGCCAAGTGACTTCAAGAACATCGACAAACCATTTTCCGGGCAAAGCTTTTCACCTTCTTGAACCATTAAAATGATGCTCGTCGCTACAGGTGGTCCTCAACGTATGACCGAAATTTCTGTTGCTCGACCAGACGTCCGTTCAGGGAGTTTTGCTCCCTTTTAATGACCTTCCTTGCCACCGTTGTTCAGCGAACCACACTGCAGTTGTTAAGTGAGTAACACGGTGGCTACGTGAATCCGGCTTCCCTATTGACTTTGCTGGCCTCTGTTTCTCCTTCTGTCGTCGCCACTTTTTACAGAGGCGCGATTGAGAGCCTTTTAACAAACTGCATCACTGTCTGATCTGGGGGTAGCAGAGCCTCAGATAGAAGGTCCACGCAGAGAGTGGTGAGGACAGCTGCAAAGATTATAGGAAGCTCACTTTTCTGTTATTCAGGATCCAGCTTACAAGGGCTCATATGTGCTTAGAACTCGGAGCATTGTTAGAGACTCCACTCACTCCCCACTTCATGGTCTGTTTCTGTTGCTCCCCTCTAGCAGGAGGTTTCGAAGTATTTATAGCAGGACGACTAGATTCTGCAACAGCTTTGCTCCTTACACCATCCGCCCTGTAAATTCGCAGGATTGTTTTTTCTCGCCACGTATATGTATACATCCGAACAAGACTGTGGTGTGTGTGTGTGTGTGTTTATATGCATAATCTTTTGTCAAGTTTATGTAGTGAATATTGGAGGTGGTTACCCTTGGAGGGCTGAATGCAATGAAACTTCATTTTAATGTATGCTGATTAGTGTACATTTAAAATGAATATATTCTATTCCATTCCATATTTTCTCTTCTCTTCTCTTCTATTTCATTCTATTCCTTATTTCTATTCTATTCCTTATTTCTATTCTGTTCTGTTCCATTCCATTCCATTCCTTATTTCTATTCTATTCTATTCTATTCTATTCTATTCTATTCTATTCTATTCTATTCTATTCTATTTATTTCTGTTCTATTCTATTCTATTCTATTCTATTCTATTCTATTCTAGTCTATTTCTTATTTCTATTCTGTTCTATTCCATTCCATTCCTTATGTCTATTCTATTCTATTCTATTCTATTCTATTCTATTCTATTCTATTCTATTCCATTCCATTCCATATTTTCTGTTCTACTCTATTCTGTTCTATTCTATTCCATTCTATGGTCAGAAGATCACAAAAGGGATCAAGTGACCCCATCATAAATACAGCCAGTTGCCAAGCGTCTGAATTTTGATGCTGCAATGGTTGTAAGTGTGAACAAGGATCATAAGTCACTTTTTTCAGTGCCGTTGTAACTTTGAACGGTCACTAAATGACTGGCTGTAAGTTGAACACTCTCTGTACTGTTTTGTTCCCCGCCAAGCCTGCAATTCTGGGATTTTTTGAAGGTCTCCCCTCCAGCTGTCAGCCAGTCCTAATCCTGCTTAGCTGTCCTCAGAGCCAGCTCAGTGCTGCCCCCTGCTGTCGAGAAAGACCCAGCTGAATTCATGATACCTCAGGGCGGGAGGTGAAGGTGGTTTGCCCACCCCCCAAAATGTAAGCCTTGCACAGAGGCTGCCCTTTCCCAAAGTCCCCCCCCCAATAAGTCCCCTTGATTCTCACACACCCCCAGTGTGCTGAATCAAAGTGCCTGCTCCATCCTACAAAACTGGTCATCTCCTGGTGGTCTCCTTTTCAAATTCCAACCACGTTCCACTTGACTTCCAGTCCAGCCAGCTGAATAAAATTGAATAAACTAAAGTTCTGGGGTTTTTCAGAGATGGAGCCCAATGGCTCAAGATGGTCGCCTGCTTGAGAACCGAAGTATTTAATTCATCCTTTCTGGCTACTAGTTGGGGAACTAATCCATTCGATTTACTATTTCTCACCAAATTCTCTCTCTCTCCCCCCCTCAGACATTCTAACAGCGTTTCTTAACCTTGTCAGCTTTTAAGATAGATGGAGCACAACTTTCAAAAGGAAACTTAAATGAAACTTACGCTCCCAGTTTCTTCCCTGGTCCCTTCACTCTGCTGAACCTCTAATTTTCACAGCTGACAAAATACAATAACTACTAAGTTATTTTTGCCTAATGTGTCTTCATATTATCCCTTAGGGTGTGGCTGCAGTAGTATTATTATTATGGATCATCGCACAGTCAGCCAGATGTTCAGATTGGATTTGGCATTTTGTCTACCTATCGAGTCCTTACCCAGGACCTGGGATAGGCAGATGTGGATGTTTGATGGTATTACAGGTATCATCGCAGGATGGAAGCAGTTCCTAGTAAGGCCGCCTTTTGCAGTTGACTAATAGCGAATTTGTCAATGCCAATGGTGTTCAAGTGGTGCTCCAGTTGTTTTGGGATTGCACGCAAGGCGTCTATGACTATTATTACTACTACTACTACTACTACTACTACTACTACTACTACTACTACTACTGCTACTCTCTTTTATTACTTTATACTTTCCCATTTTATTGCCTGTATACATTATTATTATTATTGCTGTTGTTGTTAATAATAATAATAATAATAGCAATAATACTCTTTTATTACTTTATACTTCCCCATTTTATTGCCTATATACATTATTATTATTATTAATAATAATAGTAATAATACTGTCTTTTATTATTTTATACTTCCCCATTTCATTGCCTGTACACATTATTATTATTATTAATATTACTATCTTTTATTACTTTATACTTCCCCATTTTATTTCCTGCATACAGCATCATCATCATTATCAATACTACTACTACCAATAATAATAATAATAATAATAATAATAATAATAATATTTTCTGTTGTTTGCTAGTACTCCAGTACCAGAGATCAATTCCTTGTGTGTCTAACCACACTTGGCCAAATAAAAACAAAATATAATTCCTCAACCATCCTTGTGTTTCTCAGCTATGGCAACTTTCTGAAGGGTGGATTTCAATTCCCAGAATTCCCCAGCCAGCCTTGCATTTCTCAACCATAACAACTTTCTGCTGCGTGGACTTCAACTCCCAGAATTCCCCAGCCAGCGTGGCTTTTGTCAACCTTGGCAACTTTCTGCTGCGTGGACCAACTCCCAGAATTCCCCAGCTAGCCTGGCTTTTCTCGGCCTTGGCAACTTTCTGCTGGGTGGGCTTCAATTCCCAGAATTGAATTCTGGGAGTTGAAGTCCACCCATTTTGAAGCAGTTCAGGTTGAGAAACACTGTTCTAACCTAACCCCCACTCCCATCTATTTAAAAAAAAACAACAACGCAGCACAAGATCCTGTTATTTTCCTCTCCGCTTCCATGGCACCATCGCAGCTTGCCTGCTGCATCGTTGCCAAGCTGGCATGGCGCCCGGGAAGCTACGGTTTCTCAATCCTGACTGACTCATCCCGATGGGAACGTGGCCCACCCCCCACCCCCCCCCCGCACCCCCCCCCGGGGGAGGGACAGGTGCTTAGCTAGATGAGTTGCTGTTTCATCACCAAAGAAAAGCCAGCCAGGAAGCTATCCGGATGGCAGTGGCGTTTAATTGACGACATCCAAAACAAAATGGAAAACAAAAGAAGAGAGAGAGAGAGAGAGAGAGAGAGAGAGAAAGAATGAAGAAACCTGGAATATACGAGGGCACCGATTGCAGGAGCGGATGCTCCCGGGAGAGCTGAGGTCCCACCACCACCCCTTAAAATATCCCCATCCCCAAAATATAAGGCAGCAACAAAGGACGCTTTTCCAAAGTGTGGGGCAAGAGACAGGAATTGGGGCTCCAGCTCTTAAGGGTTGCCCCATCCGTCTCTGCCCCAGTGGGAGGCACTGCAGGCGAGGATTGGGGGTGTGTGTGGACCCCAGACCCTGCAAGAAGCTGGGGGAAGGAGTGTGTGCATTTGGGGAGGGGTGTGTCGCTCCCCCCCAAACGGGTCCAGCTCTGGCCAACGAGGGGGCAGGCGGAACCGTTTCTAGTGGCTAAAAACCAGCGCAGTCCATGTTTGGCTGTTCCTTCCGTCTGCTCAATTCTGGGACGTGGCCAGCATCTCCTTTCCGCACATGGGCTCCAGCTGTTCTTTGGTCTCTTTGCTGAGGGCGTTCTCGACCTCCCCGGCGTCCATCTTGGGGTACACGACCACGCAGAGCTTCTGTCCCACCCGAGTGATTCCGTCTGGAATGGGAAAAAAAAAAAAAAACAACGGATCAGGCAAAGAGAACAAGAGCCGGGTGGTTTTCTTGCAGACGTTTCGCTACCCAACTGGGGAAGGTCATCAGTGCTAGAAGGGAGGGAGGTTTATGAAGTGGTGGTGGTGGTGGTGGTGGAGGAGGAGGAGGAGGAGGAGGAGGAGGAGGAGATGTCCTTGGTGCTCTCTGAGCTTGATGGTTTTCTTGCAGACGTTTCATTACCAAACTCGGTAACATCATCAGTGCTAGAAGGGAAGGAGATATGTGCAATGAAGGGGAGGAGGAGGAGGAGGAGGAGGAAGAAAAGAAGAAGAAGAAGAAGAAGAAGAAGAAGAAGAAGAAGAAGAAGAAGAAGAAGAAGAAGAAGAAGAAGAAGAAGAAGAAGAAGAAGAAGACGACGACTGTGGGGTCCTTGATGCTCTCTGAGCTTTGTTGTTTTCTTGCAGATGTTTCCTGACCCAACTAGGGAACATCATCAGTGCTAGAAGGGAGTGTCGGAGGAGGAGGAGGAGGAGAATTTGGGGGTCCCTGGTGCTCTCTGAGCTTGGCTGTTTTCTTACAGACCTTTCAGGACCCAACTAGGTAACACTATCAGTGCTAGAAGGGAGGGAGGTATGTGAAGTGAAGAGGGAAGAAGAGGAGGAGGAGGAGGAGAAGACGACAACGACAACGATGGAGTCCTTGGTGCTCTCTGAGCTTGGTGGTTTTCTTGCAGACCTTTCATTACCAAACTAGGTAACACCATCAGTGCTAGAAGGGAGGGAAGTATGTGGAGTGAAGGGGGGAGAGGAGGAGGAGGGAGGAGGGAGGAGGGAGGAGGGAGGAGGAGGAGGAGGAGGAGGAGGAGAAAGAAGAAGAAGAAGAAGAAGAAGAAGAAGAAGAAGAAGAAGAAGAAGAAGAAGAAAGAAGAAGAAGAAGAAGAAGAAGAAGAAGAAGAAGAAGAAGAAGAAGAAGAAGAAGAAGAAGAAAGACGACTGTGGGGTCCTTGATGCTCTCTGAGCTTGGCTGTTTTCTTGCAGACTTTTCATTACCAAACTTGGGAACATCATCAGTGCTAGAAGGGAGGGAGGTATGTGGAGTGGACAGAGGGGAGGAGGTCCATAGAATCCTTGGGCCTCTCTGAACTTGGTGGTTTTCTTGCAGACGTTTCATGACACAGATAGATAACCTCATCAGTGACAGAGGGGAGTGGGGACTGCTCTTCATTTATATACTAGTGGCCTGTCCTGCCAGTGTTGGTGGTCAAGCCACTAGTATATAAACAGAGCCAAACCCTTTCTCCTTTAGCCTGGATGATGTTATCTAGTTGGGCCATGAAACATCTGCAAGAAAACCACCAAGCTCAGACAGCACCAAGGACCCCACAGTTGTCGTCGACGTCGTTGTCTCCTCCTCCTCCTCCTCCTCCCACACTCCCTTCTAGCACTGATGATGTTCCCTAGTTGGGTCATGAAACGTCTGCAAGAAAACCACCCAGCTCAGAGAGCACCAAGGACCCCCCAGTTCAGCCCTGAGCTACAAAGATTTCCTTCTAAAGGGGAAAGCCCCCCCTCTTCAACTTATCCCACCCCTCCTTGCCTGGTTTTTTTTTTTTTCCAACACTCACTGATCAAGGTGTGGAAGGCCGGGGGCTTGTTCTCCCAATGGACGCCCAGGAAGTAGACGGGAACCCCTGTCAACATGATGGCCAGCCCGATGCCACACACCAGCGGTTCCGACCACAGGCTGAAGACCAACAGGAACGCCCAGAAGAGTAGGTAGATGATAGGGAAGAACAGGCTCACCTGTGGGGAACAGAAGGGGGATGAACTCAGACCAAAATGCCAGGAGAAAAAAAAAATATCTCCTATTTCCTTAGCAAGAAGGAAACTAGATCCAGACCAGGATTGCTGAGAAGGACAGATCTGTATCCCAACTCTCCCTTGCTCTGTACAATCCCATTGCTAAGCAAGAGTTAATAATAACAATAATAATAAAATTGGAAGGGACCTTGGAGGTCGTCTAGTCCAACCCCCTGCTCAGGCAGGAGACCCTACACCATTTCAGACAAAAGGCTGTCCAGTCGCTTCTTAAAAACTTCCAGTGTTGGAGCATTCGCCGCTTCTGGTGGCAGGTGGTTCCACTGGTTAATTGTTCTCACTGTCAGGAAGTTTGTCCTTAGTTCTAGGTTGCTTCTCTCCTTGATCAGTTTCCATCCGTTGCTTCTTGTCCTGCCTTCAGGCGCTTTGGAGAATAGCTTGACTCCCTCTCCTTGGGGGCAGCCCCTGAGATATTGGAAGACTGCTATCATGTCCCCCCTAGTCTTTCTTTTCATTAAACTGGACATCCCCAATTCCAGCAATCGTTCCTTATATGCTTTAGCCTCCAGTCCCCTGATCATCTTTGTTGCTCTTCTCTGCACTCTTTCCAGAGTCTCAACATCTTTTTTACATCGTGGTGACCAAAACTGGATGCCGTATTCCAAGTGTGGCCTTACTAAGGCATTGTAACGTGGTATTAACACTTCACGTGATCTTGATTCTATTCCTCTGTTAATGCAGTTAGGTTGTTAGTGAATCCGGCTTTCTCCCATTGACTTTGCTTGTCAGAAGTTCGCAAAAGGAGATCACGTGACACACACACATACACACCGGGATGCTGCAACCGTCATAAGTACATCTCAATTTGGATCACGTGACCGTGGGGGGAATGCTGCAATGGTTATGTGAAAAACGGTTCTAAGCATGTTTTTACTTAGCTGACATAACAAAAACTGCACTAGCTTAAATATAAGATAATAGACATTAAGAGAAAAAGAGAGTTGAAACAAGAGAAAATTCTTTTACTAAATTTAAGAGGTTTGGAAATTAATAGAAAATAAGAATGTTATCTCGTATTATTAATGAGTTGATGTAAGATGGTGAGAAATAGAATATATCCAAATAGATAAGATGTGTATTCTGAATATTAGATTTTTGTCACTGGGAACGTTGGTCGCTTAAAACTTGGAAACGATAAATATTAAATGCTAAGTGAAATATCCACGGGAAATTAAAAATTGGGGACAACTCATGAGGACATGGATTGTCTGTAAAGACTGAATGTCAAAACAACCAGGATATGTATCAGCCAAAAATGATTGACAAATGTAAGGATGCCATTTTTATTTAGTTGATTTAATAAGAATTGTATTAGTTTAAACAGGAGACAGTAAATACTAAGTAAGGGGAAAAGAGAGGAGATATTTAATGGAGTAGCTTGAGATTTGTACTAAAGATACTTGTATGTCACTGTATTATCGATTAAGCCAGCCGCCACACGGCTTTTTCAAGTACTTAAATGTAAAATTAGAAAATCAATAAAACTTTTTTTTAAAAAAGAAAAACGGTCCTGAATTACAGTTTTCAGCACCATCGTCACTTCAAACGGTCACAAAATGAAAGAGGGCAAATTGAGGACTACCTGTTTTCCAGTGGACTCTGGAACCCATTATTCTCTGCGCGAGCCAGGCTCTTTAATCTAGAGCAGTGGTTCTCAACCTTTTTAATGCCGCGACCCCCAACCGGTCGTAAGTCGAGGACTACTCAACTGGTGCAGCACCGTTTGCAGAATGGGACTTTTGGCGGGCTCAGCAGGGCAGAGACAGCCTGGACAATTCCTATTGGCTTTTGAAAGCCAATAGAATTAGACTCTATTCAAGAGAGTCTATTCTATTGGCTTTCAAAAGCCAATAGAATAAAAGGGAGTAGCACAGCTAAGGAAAAGGGGGAAAAAATGGTGGACTGCGTTGTTTGGCGACCCCCGTGAAACGGTCGTTCGATCCCAAATGGGGTCCCGACCCACAGGTTGAGAACCACTGGTCTAGAGATGACTTTGCAAGCTCACACAGCAGGAGGGAGAAACTTAGACAGGTAACAATCGGTGTATTAAAATTAAAAATCAGGTTTCGATTTAGATTCTATGATTATTTAGGAATACACCTCGCCGTCTGCAGTAAAGCTCACTTCCAATTTCCTGTTTTGGAGAGGGCTAAATCCTTTTTTTAGACATTTGCTTTCAAAGGTTTTCTGAAGTACAAAAAAAAAAAAAAATTAAATTCAACCTCCCAAAGCTGAACCTCAAGAGTTTTGACCCAAAGTCTGCTTTTCTATCTAAAATTAAGCCTGACGGGAAAAAAAAAATTAGGAACGTTTGAGGTCAACCTTTATCAATACGACTCTGAAAATCCTAAAATGTTTTCTGCAAGGTATAAATTCCTCTTAATTTTTAGACTCTGTGTCTGCCACTAAGAAGCAGGAGTTTTGATTTCCATGTTTTGAGGAAATACAGTTTGAGCTGACTGGTTTCTTCGGAATTAAGGGCGTTTGTGTTTGTGATCTGTTTTAAAACATTTTTATATGCGAATAAAGCAAATTCAGGTTGAAACAGACAGAAATTCTCGTAGATGCTAGAAGGGCTGTGGGTGGAAAAAATCGAGGGAGTGTGAGGTTTCAAAGATTTTGTTGAGTTGGCAATGGTTAAGTTTCATTTTCCATCCACAATTCTTGGTCTTGCCGACATGGAGAAATCAATCACATTTGAGGCAAGGAAACTGACCGGACCCGAAGCGGTGAAATTGATTGCACTTCAAGCAGAGAAATTGACTGCAGTCGAAACGGAGAAAATAGCCACGTGAAGGAAGGCAAATATACGCGTCCCGGGATAATATTGCAAGATCCAATCTGGATCGGTCACCAGGACTAGAGGTCAGTCTTCCGAGCTTTTGGATGCATGTTGGGAACCATCCTCAGAGAATTTCTCTCTACCGGAATAGGTGTGCTTCGGGCTATTCTATGCTTTGTATTTATGTGGTGCTTTCCTATTAGTTGATTGGTGTGTGGATGGCCGGCGATTGGCTGTTGTTTCCTTGTGCTGTCAAATCCTCAGCCCCTAAGTACTTGATAAGCTGGTGGTAAATCAACACTCCCGTTGACTGACAAGGGGGGCCCGTTTCCCAGGCTTCAATCATTTTTCCCTGGCTGTTTTTGTCCCTGCTCGGCCAACAATCCTAGCAGCGGCGAAATTGAGTACTTGATAAGGGGAATTTTGCACCTTACGTAGGACGAATGGGGAGGAAGCTAACCACCAGGTTGCAAGAACACAAGCGAATGGCCAGACGGAGGAGACTGGAACTCATCAGTAGCCTCACACTGCAATGAACGAGGACGTACATTCAATTTTGCAGCGACTGAGATTGTTGGCTGAGCCAGGACAAAAACAGCCAGGGAAATGGGCCCCCTTGTCAGTCAACAGGAGTGCTGATTTACCACCAGCTTATCAAGTACTTAGGAGCCGAGGAGTTGACAGCACAAGGAAACAACAGCCAATCACCAGCCATCAATGCACCAATCAACCAATAGGAAGGCACCACATAAATATAAAGCATAGAATAGCCCGAAGCACACGCATTCCGGTAGAAAGAAATTCCCTGAGGATGGGCTCCAGCATGCATCTGAAAGCTCGGAAGACTAAACCTCTGGTCCGGGTGGCCAATGCAGACTGGATCCTGCAAAATAGAAACACTTGAGATGGAGAAATTGACTGTACTCAGAGTGAAGGAATTGACTTTGCTCGAAGTGGAGAAATGACCACAGTCGAAGCAGAGAACTTGACCGCTCTGGAAGCAGAGAACTTAATCACACTCGAAGCCATGACACTGATCACATTTGAAATGGAGAAATTGACACCACCAGAAGCACTGAAATTGACCGTATTCAGCCTGCTTGGCAGGTGTCCAGGGAGGAGAAATTAAGTGCAAAAAATGAAGAATGGTCGAGAGATCAAAAACAGAGTCATGTCTCGGGAGAGTCCTTACCTTGATCGGATAAGACCGATGGGGTTCGCGCCAGCGAAGCACAATTTGCCCAGCCACTGTCACGCCGTAGAAGAGGTAGTTGATGAAACCGACATAATTGATCAGCGTATATATGTCACTCGTGACCAGCATAAGCAAAGTGGACAGACACTGCCAGAGAGAAAAATAAGAAGAATGAGCCGACGGGTTTAAGCTATTGACAAAATTGGACAATTCTACAACAGCCAACCACATCGGTGTTTGTCAACCTTGGCAGCTTGATGATGGGTAAGACTTCAACTCTCAGAATTGCCCAGCCAGCTTGATAAGTTGCAGGGGATTGCCCCTGTGACGACGTAGGACAGACAGGGAGGAAGCTGGCCACCAAATTGCAAGAACACAGGAGAGCAGCCCGAGGAGGAAATCAAAACTCATTGGTAACCTGGCTGTTTTTGTACCTGCTCCGCCAACAATCTTAGTAGCTCGTGAAATTAAATGTATGTCCTTCTTCATTGCAATGAACAAGGACATACATTCAATTTCACGAGCTACTAAGATTGTTGGCCGAGCAAGGACAAAAACAGCCAGGGAAATCATTGAAGCCTAGGAAACAGAAGTGCTGAATTGCTGCCATCTTATCAAAAACTTAGGAACTTTGCCGGCTGGCGAATTCTGGGAGTTGAAGTCCACCCACCTTCAAGCTGCTGAGATAGACCAACGCTACATGTTCTCATCGGAATCCCAGCCGTGTGGGATCTCCCCAGCTCTCCCCGCCCTTATTTCTCTACCGATGACTCACAGTGAAAACTAGAGCAGGTATCGGAGTGCACCTTCGGACATGAATCATCGCCAAGACGCTGGGGAGATGCCCTTCACGGGCACCGGCGAAAAACAGCCTAGGAAAGAAGGCAAAAATAATATCGCACGAGGAAATAATAGCAGGTGGAGACAGATCGTTGGCATGTTTTCATCGGCACAAGAGAAGCTCTGTGTTTTGAACACAGTTTATTCATGCCCTTCTTTGGCTGACATAATTGAAAGACAACTGCCTTCCTTGGCAGCTTGCAAAGATAAAAATCACCCAAGCAGCCAGCATCAACAAATTAAAGCATAGCCTCGGGGTACTAAAATCAAAGATCTGGTTCCCTTTCGTAACACAGCTCAGAGCAATCAATCTCATTCGGGGAAAGAGTAGAATAGAATAAGAGAGTTGGAAGGGACCTTGTAGGTCATCTAGTCCAACCCCCTGCCCAAGCAGGAGATCCTACACCATTTCTGACAGATGACAGTCCAGTCTCTTCCAGTAATGAAGGTCTCACAACTTCTGCACGCAACTTCTGTCCCTCTGGTTGATTGTTCTCACTGTCAGAAAATTTCTCCTCATTTCTAGGTTGAATCTCTCCTTGATCAGTTTCCATCCGTTATTCCTTGTCTGGCCTTCAGGTGATTTGGAAAATAGGATGTCCCGCTCCTGTCTGTGTTGTTGTTAGTTGCGAAGTCATGTCCAACCCATCACAACCCCATGGACAACGTTCCTCCAGGCCTTTCTGTCTTCTACCATCTTCTGGAGTCCATTTAAGGTCACGCCTACTGCTTCAGTGACTCCATCCAGCCACCTCATTCTCTGTCGTCCCCTTCTTCTATTGCCCTCCATCTTTCCCAGCATTAGGCTCTTCTCCAGTGAGTCCTTCCTTCTCATTAGGTGGCCAAAGTACTTGAGTTTCAACTTCAGGATCTGGCCTTCTAAAGAGCAGTTGGGGTTCATCTCCTCCAGGATCGACCGGTTTGATCGCCTTGCAGTCCAGGGGACTCGCAGGAGTCTTCTCCAGCACCAGAGTTCAAAGACCTTAATTCTTTGGCACTCAGCCTTTCTTATGGTCCAACTTTCACAGCCATACATTGCAACTGGGAAAACCACGGCCTTGACTATACGTACTTTTGTTGGCAGGGTGATGTCTCTGCTTTTTAGTGTGCTTTCTTGATTTGCCATAGCTTTCCTCCCCAGGAGCAAGTGTCTTTTAATTTCTTGGCTGCAGTCCCCATCAGATATTGGAACGCTGCTATCATGTCCTCCCTCGTCCTTCTCTTCATTAAACTAGACATACCCAATTCCAGCAGCCTTTCCTTATATGTTTTAGCCTCCAGTCCCCTGATCACCTTTGTTGCTCTTCTCTGCAGTCTTTCTAGAGTCTCAACACTTTTTTTATAGCATGGAGACCAAAAGTGGTTGCAGTATTCTAGGTGTGGTTTTACTAAGGCTTTATAGAGTGGTATTAGTACCTCATGTGACTGTGATTGAATCCCTCTGTTAATGCAACGTAGGATTGCATTGGCTTTTTTGGCTGCTGCCGTACACTGCTGGCTCATATTTCATTGATTGTCCACTAAGACTCCAAGATCCCTCTCACAGTTGCTTCTATTAAGCCTGGTTTCACCCAATCTATGGCCACAATTGGGACTGAAATTTTGGTCGAAAAGCAGTGCCGTCATTAAGCAGATCAGCCGCTGACCAGATCCAATTTTACGATCCTTTTTATTGTGACTGTTAAGCGAACGTATAAACGAGGGACACTCGCTCTGGTTTTTAGGGCGTTATCGTTTGATCCTTGGGGATCTCCAAAGACGGAACCGTGAGCACGGTTGGGAAGTCCACCCTGTTGGCTGGGAGTCAGGTCTACTCACCTGGAGGAAGTAAAGAGAGAGCCGTTGACGCCTCCGAAGGTGGAGAGGGCAACGGAGATGGGCATGATCCACGCCATCACTCCTAAGAGTTTCTCCCCAAATGTCTTTGGAGAAAGGAACGAGAAGACGTTAGGGGTCAGTTCGCCGGGAACCAAAAAGGAATCTGAACGTCATTTATTGAGACTCACCACCGCAACGGCGTTGGAAGCCAGAAGCTCCTGGGGAGACATGGCAGTGACGTAGGCCACGTTGGCGAAGACGTAGACAAAGGTTACCAGGGGGATGGAGATAAAAATAGCTCGAGGCAGGTTCCTGCGCAGGATGGAAAGAATGGAGATGGGTAGAAGGTAGAGTGAAGATCAAGATGGGCCTTCTCCACCTCCCACGCCACTAGGAGAGGCCCTCACTCACTTGTACGGATCCACCAACTCTTCGGTGACGTAGTTGAGGAAGTTCCAGCCCCCGTAGGCAAACGAGCCTTGTAGGAAGGCCAGAGCGACCAGCCCCACATTTGGCGTCTGAAAGAACTCGAAGGCGTTTTTGGGTTCCAGCCAAAAGTATTCACCTACATCAAGGACACAGTACAGAAGTAATCCACTGCCATCCTGGGGGGGGTCTCTTCTCTTTATCCCCCTTCCCAACCAGTCTCCCACTCTCCTCCTTCCCTGTGGGCAGGAAACCACCTTGTAAATCAAACAATCTCAAAATGGTGTCCATGGTCCTCTACTTACCCCTTGGCAACCTCTCCCTTACCAATGCAGCAGGAGAAATACAGAATAACAGAGTGGGAAGGGACCTTGAAGGCCTTCTAGTCCAACCCTCCCCCCCCCCCGCTCAACAGGAGACCCTCTATCAGGGATCTTCAACCTTGGCCACTTTAGGACTTGTGGACTTCAACTCCCAGAATTTCTCTGCCAGCATGTCCAGCAGAGGAATTCTGGGAGTTGAAGTCCACAAGTCCTAAAGTGGCCAAAGTTGGAGGACTCCCCCACTTCATGACTTGTGGACTTCAACTCCCAGAATTCCTCAGCCAGACATGCCAGCTGAAGAATCCTGGGAGTTGAAGTCCACAAGGCCTAAAGTGGCCGAGGTTGGAGACCCCCACTTTATGACTTGCAGACTTCAACTCCCAGAATTCCTCAGCCAGCCATGCCAGGTGAGGAATTCTGGGAGTTGAAGTCCACAAGGCCTAAAGTCACCAAGGTTGGAGATCTCTGTCCTACATCACTACAAGAGAAACAGCTGTCCGATCTCTTCTTAAAAACTTCCGGCGATGGAGCATCCACAACGTCTGAAATAACAATGCATTCGGCTGGATCCGAAGGGGCCTCACCTTTGCAAATTTGCACAATTCCCATGATAATGATCAAGCCCAGCGCCAGCAGCTTCCCAGCGGTGAAGATGTCCTGGACACGCGTGGCCCAGCGCACGCTGGCGCAATTCACCCACGTCAGCAGCACTGCGGAGAAGCAAGCAAGACCATAGAAGTAGGCACAACGAACCCCCCTTTCTCCCAAACCCAACTCAATGCTTTTCATCCAAACGGTTTCCTACTCGTGAGTAAAACCAGGTCAGGAACATTGGGCCTGGATGAAAATGGAAACGGCAGCTCTTGCAGACCCCCCCCCCCAAGGACGCCTCTCTGTTGGAGGACACTCGGTGCCAGGTTTCATGCCGATTTTACAATCCAGAACAAATGAGTTGGAAGGGACCTTGGAGGTCATCTAGTCCAACCCCCTGCTCAAGCAGAAGTCTCTTGGCCAGGGGTGTTAAACTGCTGGTCCAAGGGCCGGATGCGTCGTGGCGAAACTGCGCCCACCCCGTTGCCGGCCATGGGGGGGAAAAAAGTCACGCTACATCGCGACACGTCACGTGACATGATGAGTTTGACACCCCTGATTTCAGAAACATGTCTGTCCAATCTCTTCTTAAAAGCCTCCAGTGTTGGAGCACCCACAAAGTCTAGAGGCAGATTGTTCTCCTGATTAATTGATACTGAATAACGGAGCTGGAAGAGGCCTTGGAGGTCTTCTAGACGAGCCCCCTGCTCAAGCAGTATACCAGGGGTAGGCAACCTTGGCTCTTTTATGACTCGTGGACTTCAACTCCCAGAATTCCTAAGCCAGCATGGCTCAGCTTGGAAACCTCTCCCTTTCCCCTCAGCATAGCTGACTCAGGAATTCTGGGAGTTGAAGTCCACGAGTCATAAAAGAGCTGAGGTTGCCTACCTCTGGCCTAGGCCTAGGCCGCTTTATGACTCGTGGACTTCAACTCTCAGAATTCCTGAACCAGTATGGCTCAGCTTGGAAACCTCTCCCTTTCCCCTCAGCGTGGCTGGCTCAGGAAGTCCAGGAAGTCCAGGCTGGCTCAGGAAGTTGAAGTCCACCAGTCATAAAAGAGATGAGGTTGCCTACCCCTGCCCTAGACCTTTTCAGACAAATGGCTGCCCAGTCTCTTTTTAAAAGCCTCCAGTGTTGGAGCACCCACAACCTCTGGAGGCAGGTAGTTCCGCTGATTGATTGATACAGAATCCAGAATAACGGAGGTGGAAGGGACCTTGGAGGTCTTCTAGTCCAGCCCCCCGCTCAAGCAGGAAGCCCTACAGTACCATTTCAAACAAACGGCTGCCCAGCCTCTTCCTGAAAATCTCCAGTGATGGAGGAGCCACAGCTTCTGGTGGCGAGCAGTTCCATGGGTTAATCATTCTCACTGTTAGGAAATTTCTCCTCAGTTCTAGGTTGCTTCTCTCCTTGAGTTCAGTGACCTTCCATTAAGGCTGTAACCCCAGGTTAAATCTCATCGTCCGGGGACATGAAATGGAAAGAAACAAGGCCTTTCAAAAGGTGGCTTGACCTCCCCATCGTCTGAGGGAACCAAAACAGGAGCAGGAAAGGAATGACCTATTTGGCCCAAGGCCACCAGCGTGGAAAACATCCCGTCTGCAGACAGGCTGACCTCTGGGTGCTTGTGCGTAAACAGAATCCATAGATCAACCGAAACTCAAACCTCTTGCGCCAGGGAACGAGGAACAGAAAGCAACAAACCATGGCTTGTTCCTTCTTCTCACCTTCCCACCCACGCAGGGCAACGGAGAGATTAGCCTGAGGCGGAATGCAGGATCAGCTTCCGCATAGCTGAGCATTGTGCCGACACGTCGGGTGGGCGACGCACCCGTCGTTTGGCGGTGTGAAGCTCCGCACAATTTTAGGCTCCCAAACACAACCTGACAATCTGACTTTCACTTCGTTTAGGGACTGTTTGAAGTGGCAACAAGCACTGGGGAAAAATGGCGTCCCGGTGCTCCCGTGATCAAAATTTGGACGCTGACTCGTATTTACGACGGTCACAGTGTCCCCCGGGGTTACGCGGTCTCCTTTTTTGACCTTCTGACAAGCAATGTCAAAGGGAGAAGCCGATTCGCTGAGCAAGCTAGTTCCTAACTTAAACCATGCAGTGTTTCGCTGAACAACCATGGGGGGTAAAAAGGTCATACCATGGGGCAAAATTCGCTTAACAACTGTCTTGCTTAACGACATAAAATTTCGGGCTCATCCGTGGCCGTACGCCGAGGATTGCCTGGGGTCTCCCACAATATGACAATCTGTCTTCCAGACAGGTCAGTGTTTCTCAATCTTAATCGCTTGAAGAGGGGTGGACTTCAACTCCCAGAATCCCCCAGCCAGCCTAGCTGGCTGGGGGATTCTGGGAGTTGAAGTCCACCCAAGCGATTAAGATTCGAGAAACGCGGAGATATTCTGGACTTCTTCCAAGTGCTGGGATAGGCCGAAGGCGGAGACACAAAGCAATGAAGATCAATTGTGGTGCCAAGTTGTTGTTTCCGCCTCTTTTGTTTGGCGATGTTGGGCTTTATTAAAAAAAAGACTTATAACAAGCCGCCCAGAATTGTGTTTATACGATGGGCGGTTATCCAAGTCTAATTAATCAATAAGCTTCTCAGTTCCTTGATTTTGCAACTGTCCTAGGTCACCACAGGCTAAAGAAAAATAGGAATTGTGATCCACCACCTTTGGATCGCCTTAGCGTTAGGAGAAGCCATGATGTCATCAAGGGGATGATGTCATCAGCTGGTGACATCACTTCCTGTCCCTCCCTAAGCAGTAGAACGTTAGCCATTTTTCATAGGAGCAATTTTCAGGTTTTTAAATCAATGTGAAGCAGCTAGTCAGCAGGGGGCTGGACTAGAAGACCTCCAAGATCCCTTCTGTTCTTTTCTGTTATTCTATTCTGCTATTTTCTGTTCTATTCTATCCTAATTATTCTATTCTATTCTGTTCTATTCTATTCTATTCTATTCTATATTTCTATTCTATTCCATATTTCTATTCTATTCTATTCTTTATTATTCCATTCTATTCTATTCTATTCTTTATTTCTATTCTATTCTATTCTTTATTATTCCATTCTATTCTATTCTGTTCTGTTCTGTTCTATTCTATTCTATTCTATTCTATTATTATTCTATTCTATTCTATTCTATTCTATTCTATTCTAGACCGTTTGACATTTTAACAGCACTGAGAAAAGTGACTTATGACCATTTTTCACACTTACGACCGTCGCAGCATCCCCCTCGGCCACGGGATCAAAATTCTGACGGTTGGAAACTGATTCATATTTATGACGCTTGCAGCATCACAGGATCCGCTTTTGCAACTTTCGGACAAGCAAAATCAGCGGGGAAGCCAGGTTCACTTAAGAACCCTGTCACTCAATTAACAACGGGAGCGATTCGCTTAACGACGGCGGCGAGGGAGGTTGTAAAATTGGGGTGAAACTCACTAAACAAGCGTCTCGGTTAGCAACAGAAATGTTGGGATCCGTCGTGATGGTATCTTTGCAATCAATGATATTCCGACATACTGGAAAGCCTTTGAGACACTTGTTTATGCATGACTATAAGTAGTCCTCGGTTTACGGCCATGACTGAGA